CCACGCAGCCATAAGTGTCACCCATGTAATACACTGGACCTCCTCGCTGGTCTGGGCCTGTCGTGGTAATGGATTCGTGCAAATCCAGCCTTTGCAAAAAGAAAGAAAACGCGTTTCGCCCAACAAAGAAAGGGGCTCAATGGGCAATGGCAAGGCTCAGAAATCAGAATGTCCATGGGCTCCTGAGCGAAGAGGACAAGAGGTTATCACAAACGACTAATCGTCCACGAACTAGGCCACATCGCTAGCTAGGTCGATAAACGTACGACCACCTCCAACTCCAGTACCATTTAAGCTATTGCATAGTGTTGGGTTGATCGGTCATGAGACCCTCGATCGGCTATGTGCCCATTACACTGACACTAGTATAGTATTGGTATTAGCATTAAAAGGATTGCTAGGTCACCAGAACCAACGCTCCCGTTAGGTTTATCTGCACGGCTGCACCCCACTAAACGCGTAACTCGAGAAATCTAAGACCTGTTTGGCATAGCTTCGGTTTTGACTCCATTTCGCTGCGGCTCCTAATGAGGAGCATGAAGAAGTCGAGTCGGAGTCAAAAGAATAATTTTTCTAGCTACTTCTCACAAACCTTTATTATAAAATTGTTGCTGAAGCCGTTTTTACCAAATATTTTTCAAATAGTTTTAGCTACATCAGTAAAACTATTTCACATAAGGGGCCGACCAAAGTACATTTACAATGAGCCGGAGCCGTGTCAGATGAGACCTACCTAACTACGCGTTGAACTGTTGAAGTACCAAGAAGACGCCACCACCAACTTCCTCTCCTTTAGCTGCCACCGGGAAGGTTGACAGTGGGGCACGGCCGTACATCAACAGAAACCATTTCACCACTCTTGTGTACCAGAATGTCCGAGCAGACACTAGTCTTCGTTGCTAGGTTTAATGGCCATTCCATCTCTTAACAAAAGTATACCAGTCCCTTAATCCAATTTAATTAAGTGTTCTATATTCATGAGTGATTCTGTTTTATGTCCTAAGTTCTAACACATAGTTAGTTCTCGCTACAGCTTTATATTTCGACTCTTCAGTTCGCTTGACCTATTGCAATGTTGTAGTAATATGATTACCTAACACATTCATTGAATGAAATTTGATGATCAAAACATGTTATTACACACTAACACGTTATATAATTGAGTATATATGGATACGTCACATCCAAATATGCCACGTTTACACAGCTAACATGCTGACATGGTAATTAAAATATGTCATCCCAAAGTTTCAGAATAAAAGATTTACCACATTCAACAGATCACGCAGTTATCAGTTAGGTGGTCTCAAAAAAAATAGCTAAAACTTTCCTTATTTATCATACTTTACAAAATAAAAGAAAATTAAATAATATAGTTTACACGTTACATCCTAGGAAGTAACGGGTGATCATTACAATCCGGTTTAATTAAATTAACGGCTCATAGTTATTTAACCGCTTCAAAACACAAATAAAGTCAAGAGGTTTTAGGTGTGCTTTGACAATTAGAGTAACTCCGGTATACACAGGTAGCTGTCGATGTGACCACTTGCAAAAATTTCGGTGTGCATAGCACGGACAAATTGTCGAGCTGACTTATCTAGATCTGGCGTTGGTTTCACGGTGATTGGCGTGACCGATCAACGATTTCCTTCACACAGAAAACTTGACCATGCCAATGAGCCCACCAACCACACCGATACACACCTAATCCTCTGGACTAACTACAAGTACATGACGTGTGATGTGCGGAGCAACATTGAATAGAAAACGAAATGCACGCAATCAACGCGCTCGCCCTCCACACAAACGGCACACTAATCCAAATTTCTATGGTTCTAGCTACCTGGCATGATATGTGTCGGCACAAAAAATATCTAAACGCAGTAAACTGGAAAGATCCACTTGGCTTCAATGCAGGACCAGCCGACTCTGCGAATTCCCAAATACGTGCCAGTCAATTTAACCTGCAATTGACAAGGAGAGAAAATTTATCAGTAATTTAAGTTGGAACATACCGGTTTTACCTAGATAGTTCCAAGTGTGCCGCTTCGGGAGCAGCCAGACGGAAAATCGACTAAATATCCGATACGAGAAGAAATCGGCCGTTAAGAACTGCAATATTCGTGGGTCGCGATTAATTTATGATAACAAGTACAATGCACCCAGATATAAGTAAAATCATCAGCTAGGTGGATATTAACAGCGTAAAGCATTGAGCCGAGCGAATTTAACGAGAAATGATATAACATGCGAACAAATCAACTGTCTAGTACGAATGGATCTACAAACGCTCTAAATCTAATCTGTTACTATCAATAGCTCTAAATCTAATATGTTACCATCAACAGTGAGGTTCGACCGGATCGATGCTTTAGGCCCCGCTCGTTTGACCTTAAAATCCGGCTTGTTCGACTTCTTTTTTCAGCCGGAACAGTGTTTTTCTCTCATAATAATTTAGCCGGAACAATGTTGTGGCTTATTTTTTCAGCCAAATTCAGCCAAGCGAACGGGGCCTAAAGCCAAAGAATTCATAAAACTATCTATACATTGACATGTTTTATGAAAGACGTGCTACACATGTGGAAGCATAGGCGAATCGGCTAAAATAGCCAATTCATGTAGAAAAGTGATTACAGTATGTGAACAATCGACTATGGCCCCGTTCGCGTGCCCTTAAACCCGGCTTGATCCGCTTATTTTTTCATCCGGAACAGTGTTTTTCTCTCACAAATTCCTCCAGCATTCCTCCGAACCATCCAGATTCCTCCAAAATTCAGACAAGCGAACAGGCCCTATTTAACATGGACAGATCTATAAACTTGGGGTTCGACCGGAACTATGATAAAGACAACAAATCAAACCTTTAAAATAAATAGATCTATTCACATTTTAACAGGATCATGAAAACATAATGTAAACGCGTTAAAGTGTGGGCGATCGGTTATTTAGCCGATGCAGGCATAGCAAACAACCAAGATCACACCTGATCGAAAAGCAAGTTTACCAGTTAGCATACTCCGATCTAAAGTACTAACAGTGGAGATCGACCGGATCGTTACATCCATAATAGCGAGCTATAGACCAGATTCAACTAGTCAGTAAACCTTCTCAAAATCAGACACGCCTTGACCGCGTACTATGCACGATCAAGATCGAAGTAGAACAGCCGATGAAAACATAATCCATTGTTTAAAGTAAGAACCGTCATGGTGACAAAATAAATGATAGATTAAAAGGATGTGAGGCCGATCTAGATCGATCTCGATCGGGCAGGTTGATATTGCTGAAACTAATGATAATGAGAACATCAGCAATGTCGGTAACTTAATGAATCTACCTGAAGGATACGACCCTTAGGTAGAGCCGATAACTTGACTGTAATCTAATTCGAGCAATGGAGATCGAATTTAACCGATGCAGTCGTACTTGAACTAGATAAGGATCGATAACTAGCTTATACTAGAGCTCGCAAGAGGTCGGCCGGACCGATGTAGCCTTACAAACAGAAGTATAAGCCATGACGGTACTTACAGACAAGCCAGAGGTCGGCCGGACCGATGCAGCCCTGCTTGTTGAAGAACTCGTCGAGATCTACAGTACTCCTACTCCTAAGGATTAGCGTAAAGCCGAAAAAAGTAATTGATATTGATTGATTGGATCATTTATAATTGGCCATATCCCTTTATATTTATAGGGGTGGCTAGTCTTCGGCAATACAGAATAGGACTCTTGTACGTACATGCATGGAAGGTTCCTTTGTGTACAAGCCGAATATATTCCCTAACTGATTCGGCTATGCATGATATTTAAGTCCAGCACTAATGTGGCAAGGCGTCCTTGGCCCAAACAAATAGCAAAATACTTTCCCGATCACGTGCAACTCCAGCTGTCGAGTAAGCTTCATGTGGCAGCTAGTCTTCACGCCGGACGCAAGCCATCTCATCCAATTGATACGAACGTTTATTTATTTATTTATCCTGCTTCCTTTAATCTTCTTCACGCACGTACAAGCCAACTCTCGATCCCAGCTAGCTTTCCTTTTCTTCACGCATGCACACCATCAAGATTAAGGCAAGTAACGTGATACACCTGGAGCTCAGAGGTGTGTTCCCTTTTCAATACTAGTAGTGTATCTGTGCTAATGCTACGGTATTCTTCCTTGTATTGTATTCTCGTTGTTTTATATTCCTCTCTTCTCTTTGCTCATCTGTTATTATGTTATTTGAGACATCTCCAAATACGTGTCGGCCTTCGATCCTTTTGTTCGGAGCCACACAGGAGTAAAATTGAAATTGTTTGAACGCAACCACAATCTTAACATCTGAATCAAGATTGAACAATATCAACTAATAACATACAATAATTATTTGTAGTAACAAGTAGTAATTATTTGTGCATGGAGACTAATCATCTCACAATGAAACTTTTGCTTATATTACAACAATATTGGATTTTAATTATTACATCTCTACTTTGTACCCCTCTATAATACACCAAAATTTTCTTTACTAAATCCATCCCCTCAACCTCAGACACCCCACAGTCACGCCTAATCTAAGTCCACCCAAATATGTGTACCAAAGTAATCCAACTGTATACAAATGAATGGCCTAGATCTCTCCTCAAGCCTTCTATAGAGTTCCTCGCTGTGTAGCTTGAATTGCTCTTGAGATAACCCTCTATACAGTTCTTCACTGAGGTAGCTTCAACTGGTGTCGAGATAATTTTCATGGCTATTATCTTGATCATGAATCATTGCAGAAACTACATAGACACCCAATGGTCATGCCCTTACATGGCTGAGTTATACTTTGATACTATCACGAATATATTAACTCTATGCACATTTTTCACATGTTGCAACATACGGACATTTATCCAGTAATTATAGAAAATGTGGAACATTTAGTACAACAATTGCAGTTGCAGGCCTTCATGTCATCCATCCAAGCTGCCGTGCAAGGTATCACGCGATGCATCACAGGGGGCGAGGCGACATGCTCGCGCCCTTCTCCCGCCTCGAGGCCACCGTGCCCGCCAACGACAAGCGCCTTGCCCTCGCCTGCCTCAAGCTCGGCCAGCACCTCAAGGAGTCCAGCTCCGCCGACCCATCCCGTGTCCTCACACTCGCACTGCGATGCCTGGGAATCCTCGGGGCCACCCGCCAGCCCCAACGCCTCCACCCCGGCCTTGGCCTCCGCCTCCGTCTCCGTCTGTGATCTGATTGTTTCTGCCTTTTGATGATTCATTTTTGGAAAGGGGAAATCAGGAGGAGAGTTTTTTTTAAACGGGAAATCAGGAGAGGGCGTGCGGGGGCGGATCCATTGCATCCCGGCATGCGCGCGCGGGCGAGGGCGCGGGGTGGGCTGGGGAAGGAGCGTTGAAGCCTAGATTGGTCCGTGGCCACAGGATCGTGGTGAAGCCTGCTCAGAATAGATCTGGATAGTTGGTTTTCATAGAGGGGGTTTTCTGGGTGCACAATCTGGTGTGGATGGAGGAAACATCATCTCTGTGAGGGATAAATTTATGGGTGAACTAAGCGTAATTCGGATTGGTCCATTATAGTTTCCACTACGTTAGCTCAAGAAAAATGATCCACCTTCTAACCACTTCTGGATGAATGCAAGTTCTGGTTTAGTCTGTTTGGATGTCATCAACCAGACATGGAGACAAATGTTTGGTAAGACTGATCTTTGCATTTCATTATTTGTATGTACAGGCAATGGATTCTCTCCATGCCTTATATGTACAATTAGATATTCCTGTTTTGTACCATGTTAAAGCAGCTTAGGTTTGAACCTATGTGATACTTTGCAGATCTTGTCAATGTGTTTGAGGTCTTCCTTCCAAAACTTCTGTTATATCCTAATCCTTATGATCCATTAAATGCAGATGCGGTTTCGTTGATGATGTGTAATCGCCCTTCTATGTGTGCATCAAACTTACACAAAAAACATTGACCAATTCTATTCTACTTAATTGAAAGGCAGAGCTCCTGCCATTACATTCAAAAAAGATTTGGCTCAGTGAGTCAGTGCATTAATTTGATCCCAGACACAAAAAAAATCAGTAGTAGGTTTGAGACTTGCAACAACACATTCAATAACCAGAATTGAGAAGCAGCAATATTCAGTAAACTAACAGGTTAGTGCATGAAGAGGGACCATACCTTCAAGGTTAATCTCCAGGTTTGTGCTGTCAGCTTCAAGTTGGTAATAACAACAGGCCTCCTAAAATGCCTCAACGCTGCCAAAGATAACACAATCACACAAATTCAAGCCAAGATGTTGTACCAACGATGTATAAAAAAATGTTCTCTGAACTATCTGGATACAGAAACTGCAATTGCTAGTGAAACACTGAAACTGAAACTAAGAATAAGTGCTGCTGTCAAACACTATCAGAGCAAGAGAAAGTTAACCAACGCAAGTTTCAAGTCTAGCATAGGATGACTAAATTAATAAGCTAATGCAAATTAAATTGTGCAGGTAGGCCCTATGTGCAGGCAAGTAATGATTATTTTGGAGAATGGTGGCAATAGCATGAAAGTCTGAACTTTTGGTGAAAAGGTGCTACAACTTACCTGCTTACCTGATGATTGAGATGCTGCTTCTATCACCCATCATTATTGCTCCCTGCCGAGATGACCAGAACATGCTGCAAATGGATTAATGTGCTGCAGAACAGAACAAGTTACAGAGCTGCCAAACTTAAGAACTGAAGAGAAGAATCTCTGTACCTGATCTGAAAAGGATGCTCTGAATAAAACCGCAGTAGACCATTTGTGAAAATTACAGCTTTTCAGAAACAGCACAACAGAACAGCCAAACTCTACAGAGAATCAATGGAAATCACTCAAAACAAATTCTCATCCGTAGAGCAGCCTTAAATCCATCATGAACCCTAGCTAGCGCCTGACCACCACGACGTCCTTGGCAGTTATGGTCTTGCGGCGGCCGTGCTTCGTCTCCGTGTAGGTGACGGCGTCGCAGATGACGTTCTCGAGGAAGATCTTGAGCATGCAGCGGGTCTCCTTGTAGATCAGCCCCGGAGATGCACTTCACGCCGTCCCTCCTCGCCAGCCTCCGGATTGCTGGCTTCTTCATGATGTCCTGGATGTTGTCGCGGGGCACCTTCCGGTGGCGCTGGGTGCCGCCCTTGCCCAGGCCCTTACCTCCCTTGCCGCGGCCCGACATGGCTGCTTAGACGAACGGGAAGGAGCTGCTGAACAAGCGGAGGTTCGTGTGATTTGCGATGAGGAAGATTTGGAGATTTTTGTGGGATGGGAATTGGCTGCTTAGACGAGGAAAATTTAGATGAACCGGAACAAACTAAATGACGTGCGAGAATACCGTAGCGTTAGCACGGGCACGATCTTCTCCACCATCAGGCGTGCAGATCTCCGACACCTCGTGGGCGAGTGGATCTGGGCCGCCCCAGCTTGCCGCAGGTGCTACCGCCACCGCCGCCCATGGGAGCACGGGTCCTGACCACTGCAGCTGCTGCCACGGGCACGGCCGCGGCGGCCTTGCCCAGCCCCCGCCCAACGCTGCTGCTGCTCCGCCCAGGGGCGAGCACACGCAGGGGCTGCCGTCGGCGCAGGAAGCGCGTGCAAGCCACTGCTGCCACGCTGTGAGTACGCCCGACCTCTCGATTTTTTTTCGGAAACAAAAGAAGTGTTGGCGTGTGGGACGGTGGGATTAGATCCCTGGCCGCCGAGGGCGCACGGGGTGCGGGGTGGTGCGACTGTGCATTGAAGCAAGCCCGGATGATCCCAATAACGTTGGCCATCAGATCGAGTTGAAGTCTTTAAGAGAGCTTTAGCGGCCATTGATTTTAATGATGTTAAAATACTGAGTACAAAATCTTTGGTGCATAATGGTTGGACTATCTCAGCGGGGGACGTAATCTTGGGTGTATCAAGCCTTATTTTGAGTGTTCTCTTATAGTAGAGATGTTGGACTCCTTCCCAGGCTGGCCTGTACAGAACCGATTTCTTGACGTATTTCAGGCACATGAAACCAGCAAGAATCCCGATCACGTCATGCATGAATAATAAAATATTTCGGCCATGATGCTAATCTCGTTGAATAATGAATATCTCCGTTATCATAACGCTCCCAAACTTGTAACCATATGTGGCCGAATATAATAACCAGCTGTGCATGAGCATATTCTCTGATAATTCTCTCTCGTCATGACACATTTATTTTCCTTGATCTTCTGACTTTCCCTGCATTTCCCTTATCTTCACGCGAAGAGGTCTGGGACGTCAGGCTTCTCCAAAAATATATTAAATAATATTTCCTGACCTTTCCTACACGTACGTGATGCATTTCGTGTCGTTCCGTGCCAATGATATGTTCTGGCCGGCCAAATTTTAATATAAACACAGGCCCCCTAGTTCGGAGTATGAATTTTCATGTTTCGAACTATTTTAATTTGATGGTCTTCTTCTAATTTGATTTCCAAGGAGCCGATAAATTTGCTGGCAGTAATAATATCTTATTCTAAGCTTCAACTACACATGTGAACTTTTATGTGTCTATCACACCATCTTGGGTGGTCGAGGAATGGAACGGGTTAGAATCTAGTCATCATCGCTTCTCCTGCTCAGAAAACTTGGGGTTTTAAAAGATTTTCAAATTAAAACATAGCTTTGTTCCTCAAATGTTTCTCTCAAATCGCTCAATGTGTATAGTTTCTTATCAAAGCATTGTTGTGTTTCTCTTTATCCTACTTCTAAAAAGCTTATGTGGAGTTCAGATAGGGATAAAATATATAGCGTACTCATTTTGTATATATTGTAAAATCAAATCCCGGATTCAAGGAGAGAAGTGTCGTACTCTTAAATCAAGATGTATATGTGTGTGGAATATTTGGTGGCTAACCTAATTTTACTATGCTCTCTGAAACATATTTCTCTCTTGTGGAATATGTTTACAAGAACATGGGCTATATTTATTCTCATCTCTCTTTTTTTCTTTTTTTTTTACTTTGGACCTCTTTTTGTCCATTTTTTATTTTTGCATAACCCATGTCACTTTTTATAATAAACTTTTGAGAGAAATATTATCAAGAGCTCGGAGTATTTATTTTGATAAACCTAACAAACATATTTTTTGCCTTCTCCCAGTGTAGGAGCAAAACATTTTGAGGCGGATAAAAAGTATGTTTTTGCGTACTTCCAGTGTAGAAGCAACACATATTTGTGCCGTGTACGTGATTTTGATCTTGGGAGCATGATAAATCTCTCAACAAGGGTCAACAAGACTTGACAGGACTCAACACAGAGCAAGCAGATTATGTGAAATGTTTTTAATGAGACTAACATATGGTCTTAGTAGGAAATTCAAAATCATTGAGGAGACAAGCTATTAATTTTGATTTTTTTTTTGCAAGAAAAATTTTCAAGTACTTTGCAAAAGAAACAAGGTCCCTTTCATCGTACCATATCTCATCCATCAACTACTTAAATGGCATGCTTTTCCTATGATAAACTATTCACAAGTGATAGAAAAAGCAAGAAATAAAGACTATACGAGCCAAACATAGAGGGGCATGTACCTTATATCTGCATGTAAGCTCCTCCACTCTGAGCTGATAAATGCCTTCGCTTGGGACCCTTTTTTATAATGATGCTTTCACCGGTGCGCTTATTGGCTGTTGCACCTAGAATCCTTGTATGCTTCTGCAGTGCTGCTGCACAGAACGTTATATCCGTCGGCGTCGAATCAATCGCTTCTTCTCTCATCGGCACTTCAACAGTCAAATCATAATGGTGATGAGAGTGTTGACCTCCCTTGGTAGCCTGAGCCATAACAACAGGAGGTACAATTTGACCTGCAGCCGATAGAATTACTTCATCCTTATCAGCTTTTCATGAACCTATTGAATCGTTTTCTACTGCGGGTTCAACCACTTTAAAGCAGTATCCTCTTCTTTGACTTCGAGGAAAAAATGGTCAATGATGGGGTCTCCTCTGCCGAGCCGACGAGATTGCCTTCGGATGATGATACAAATTAAATTCTTGGAGAACTTGAACAAGCTCACCGTCACCCCGGTAGAAGAGGCATGCCAAGCCAATTAGATCCATATTTCTGCAGACAAAGAATTGATTTGCTCCAGACCTTGTGGCTGTGTCAATTCATAAACTGAAGGCCATTAGCTCGAAGTCATTGATGTCCAGCTTGAAGCAAAGAAGACCGAGCTGATTAGAGAGCTTGTTTCCAGCTGACAGCTGTTCAACAGCATGGCTTGACGAGTTGACATTGACAATCTTTCTTCTTGACGATTGCCTCTGTATAAACTTTTCTTTGATTCCCGTGCTGCTTAAATCAGCCTACCGACAGAATATTTTCAACAACGCCTATAAAGAAGCCGATTGACACGGCGCTCGCTGATGGTCACGATAGCGCAAACGCCGTTGGTACCGCCGGACATGTCCTCGCTGAGGAGGAGCTTAGAGAACCTCTCCTTTACTAGCTCCTATCTTCTCATCAATGAAGCGGCGGTCGAGCATGTCGGCGTGGGTCTCTATGTTGAGTCATCTGAGGGACACGGTGGTAGACACCAGGAATCGGCCGATGAACATGGCCACGGTGGTGGTTGGCACGATCAGCCTGCTATAGTCGACGTTGATGCTGTTGCATTGCTCCAAGAGAGATGAGGACACATCAGACATGGCGCGGCTGAGGTTACCCATCATGTCGGCAAGGCTTCATGTGGACGATGATGCAGCACTCATTGCGTTACTCCGCCTCCGAGCTTCCGTCGAACATCAATACTGATTAACTGCTGTCCCTGTCCATGGCGTTGCTAGTTGTTTATATTCTTATTTCCTTAACCATGCATTGGCTCGGTTATGGCAACAACATTTCGAGCATTATTTAATGCTTCTAGCCCTTGAAGATTAGCTCCTCTTACTCTTCATTCACCATCTTGTAATAATCATCGGCTATTTAATCATATGACATGAATCTTCCGGAACATCTGAATTTGTATGCGTCCATCGGCTTTTTGCTCTTTTTGATAGCCGATGGATCTAAATTGAAATAAACATGGGAATCTGACATCAGATGTTTGTGGAATCTTACATCGTATCCCACCGTAACATTGTCGAATCCAATTCCAAAGAATAATTAATATTTCCTTTTGAATAATAGTGAAGTGTTTTGCAGCTGGATTGACCCCTTCGTGTTAGGACTCCGGCTTCTCCTGGCATGTGGCAAGCCATCCTTCAATTTTCTACACAGTAGCATGCATAGACAAACACCAACGGAACCGCATAGCCAGAAGAACAAGACGGCAGCGGGCATCAACCAGGTATACACGGCAAGAAGAACGAACGCAATCGGCTTCATAGCCGACGGTAACGGCCGATGGTTATAAGCGATGGATAAAGATGAACGCAATCGACCTTCATATCTGATACTTGTTTGTATGTCATTCACAAATACGTCTGCTGGTGTTGCCACCTGGACATGACTAAGCAACGGAGAAGCCAGACATCAATAACCACAAATATCGCATATCTGATCAAGTCTTCAACCTTTATGCCTCAACAATGATTTTCCGATTAATCTGTCAAGTGATTGGCATGATATATTTTTACCAATTTTAAGCCGATGCAAATATGAATCGGCTATTTGGCCCGATACAACATTGATCTCCATCGGCTATTTACCTTTCAGCCAATTTCATGCAAGCCGATAAGCAATCTGGAAGCTACTTAGGATTTCATGCAAGCTGATGAGTCGATAGAATTCATCTATGATCCTCCAAGCTGATATCATTATTTTTCTTTTATCCCGTGAAAATCCTTGCATACAGAGCTACGTATTTGTACTCAGCTAAGTCGATGCAATATCAATAGCAGATAGCAGAGCAGAAGGTAGATCCTCGAGAACCCAAAACATAATCAGTTCCTTCCTCCTTTACTCATTCATCGGCTATGCCCTATATGTTGAGAAAAACCAAAAACCGATGAGCCAGGAATTGATGAAAATAAATTTGTTTGTTTACTTCAGGTTCGACGCTTCTAGGAGAAAAATTCAGTAGCAGGTTGTTCGGCTCTGTTCGCCAACATCACATTCTTGCTGTCGTCGTCGGCCGCGAGTTCCTTGATCCTGTTCCACCGTAACTTGTTGCTGCTGCCACTAGCCTTGCGTCGCCACACGTACAAAGCAGTCTCCAC